GAACGCGGCTTTATTAGCCGCAGAGCGCACAAGGTGCAGGTTTTACAATGGCGAAGATATGCGCCGTCGCGTTCGCGACCGCCGAACAATACTGCTTGAGCGCCGTCGTCATGCAGTAGCCTTTAATCACACTCGATTGCTGTCGAACATCACAGCTAAGCTCTCATTATTAGTCACTTATGATGATGCAGATCTGATTCAGCTGATCGAGGACAAGGAATTAAGATCCAACCAACCTATAACAGCTATGTGGATGCAACAAAGCGTATATATCGTACTCAAGGGATTCGAGGACTGTATCAGGGGGTCTCAGCAAACATGACTGCTCGTGCCTTGGCCTGGGCTTTATATCTGCAATGGTCTGTATCAATTCATGCATCTGAAGGCATTCTGATCTCAGCTTTAAGGTTCCATAAGATGCGAGAGGTGCTTCCGTTTCATTCTCCCAACGAGAACCTTGACAATTTCTTCTGCGCTGTTCTTACAGGCAGCTGCGTCATGTGCATTACCAATCCTATATGGGTTGTGAAGACAAGGTATACTTCAATGATCATCAATGTTTACTTATTCCTAAGGTTATTGCCTCTGTTTTAAAGGCTCTGCTTGCAGTACGAGACTGCCGCCACGCGAAAATACTCGGGCATGATAGATTGTCTAGTCAAGCTCTACAAGGGAGAGGGAGTCAGAGGACTTTATAGGGTAAGACTGTCATTATTTAGGCGTCTTTCGGTAATAAAGTGCTTCGAGCGAGTTCTACTGACTTCGAAATGATTTAAGGGTCTCATCCCTGGCCTGGTTGGTACCACTCAGCAGTCCCTGTATCTGACAATTTATACTCGTTTGAAAGGTTGGCGTTGCCAAAGACGAGGTTTACCTGTAGATTCGCAGCTGGTGAGTCAATAAATTCAGTAAACGAAACCTCGGGGGTGCAAAGAAATAATCTTTTATCTTACAGGGCTCGGGAGATTATCTGATTTTTTCGGCTCTATCGAAATGTATCGCAACGACACTGACCTTCCCATATCAGCTGGTTCGAACTCGAATGCAGGTAAAACACAGTTTCTAAACTTACTCCATATGAACGAAGCAAAGGAAGTTGATATATTCGAGGGGTGTATGTCGTTAGGCGCGCGTCTAGATAGTCGCTGTTGCCAGAAGGGGCTCGTACTCCACAAAAACAAGGCTTCTAAACTCCAGAGATT